TTCAATAAAAACAATTCATCGTATGATAATTGATTCGATACTCTTTCAATACTTATATTTAACGATATTAATTAAAATGTTATGCAAAAACATTGGTCACTATTTGAAAAACATTTTTGAAAAGTATATTAGTATGTCAAGCATTGATTACAACCTCATCAGTAAACACGAAAAATATCAATCAACATTGAAGTTGCGAAAAATGTTTGTACCGTTAATTGAAATATTTAAAGATACATCGGATTTGTACTCTACATTGATATTTTTGTGCATCGTTGCGTACGTCGCAACGATAATGCGTTGTTGTCAAGACATTTTATACCTGTCCATTAAAGGAAATGACGATAAGTTACTATTAATGACGGTAAATGTGTTAGTGATCTTTGATGTTTTAATTACGATTTTATCATTAACCGAGTCGGCTGGATCAGCAACTGAAGAGGTAATTAATTACTGCAATTGAAAAAACATTTTTTTTTTTTTTTTGATTGATGCAATTTTGTAACGCTTTTATGTTAAATGCAGACTAAAAAGATAAACTCTACTTTGATCCACTGCACTATGTATAGCGATGACACGACATTCGATAGCATAACATATCAAGTAAGGGTTAATAATCTCATGACTTAAATATTATAAAATAATACTTAATGAAAAAAAAAATTTCAGCTCTTACTATTTTCGCACCATTGCAAGACTACAGATATTCAATTTCTAGCTTTAAATATTTTTCCACTCAAAAGATCATTATTTGTGTCTGTAAGTATTTTCGTAAATGTACAAAAATCATCGCATCCAAAACCAGTTAAAAAAAGTGTTATTATTTACCATACGAATTAATTATTATTTTACATTTTCCAGATAATAAGTTTAACTGCAACATATTTGTTTGTTTTTTTGCAATCCCAGAAACCACAAATATTATGGCAGTGACATGTTACAATAATAATCAAATGATTAATCAAAAATCTTTTGGGCACGACTGCTAATTTCAATTTTTTCACGTAAAATACTGAAATGATAAGTGATTGTAATATTATTATTTGTATTTTCATAACTATGTAAGTTTTTGTCTTTAATTAATTAAAGTAAACTGTTTGAAGTACATAAAGTATTTGAATTTTATTACACACCTCTTCAATTTTTTGTAATTATTAATCCAAATTATTATCTCAGTCATTTTAACAAAAATCATGTTGCCATTAGTTCCAATCGATAGAGAAATTTAATTGTTGATTTAATTTTTAAAGGCCTTTGATGGAGTACATTAATTTGATCATTATAACATTTATATTTTTTGCAGATTTTAAAGATTAGTTCTTTGTGTGATATTTGTACTTATCTTATTATTGATGTTGGTTATGATGGACGTTCTTTACGTGATCATTGCTAGTTGATAAATTAAGAGTCATTTATAAGAATTTTCATGCTTAACCATGAAATGTATGATAAATAATAAGGAAATAAAATAAAAGGCTTCGATCACGTTACAATCAACCATACCAATGAATAAATAAAAAATCAAAAGCTACACTAATATTGATTTATTCTTGCGTCATGCTCCATTGAATACGTAAAGTTGATTGAAATGAAAAAATAATCATGATTATGAAAACAAATAATTTACTCGTACAGGGTACAATAGTGTTAATCTCACATAGATAAATACTAATATTTTTAAAATGTTAATGTAATAATAATAATTATTATTATTATAATAATAATAATTCTTCAAACAGAAAAGCAAGCAAGCGAGTTTCACGTGCCAGGATATTGAAGTTAAAAATAGTAATATTTTTATTATCCACGTATAGCTTCTCCAAGTGATTCGAGATAGGGATCGTCTCCTCGTCACTGGTATGCGTTTTTTCCCATGGAGCCTAGATGTACTTCACTTACATTTGTTAATACCATTTTTTTGGAGCATATGAGGGTTTGGAAATGTATTACTTACTGTGTAGTACAAAAAAAAAAATTGGTGGAAATTTATTTATTGATTTCTGTTCACTATTTACTTAATGGCAAACAGTGAGTGTAGGATATCGGATATAATAAGTAGGACACTTTTTTTTTCTTAAGAAAAAGTAAATAAAAAATAAATGGACTTTTGTCGATGTATTGTATTACGTCTCGATAATTGCACGTTGCTTATTCAGCGTTATATATAAATAAATAAATAGCTTACAGTAATATCGTTGCTTGTACAGTGGGACATTGAAATATTGTTGTAAGTCGTACAAGTTATTATCTTAAGGAAAAATGTCCCTGATCCGGTCATGACTCCGGTCTCTGTAATGGTATCAGTATTATATACAGTTGATTCGTAAAAATTTTCTTTCAAACCGACTTTTTTAACTTTTGAAATAAAAAAAAATTACTTTTTAAATTTTTGTTAAATGAGAAAAAAATCTTTTCCGTTTATGTGCCACAGTTTGTTACATTTCCTGTTGATTTTAGTGATAATTGTAAATTTCATTGCAAAAATTACGAAACCTACACCAATAAAATAGTTAAAGAAATTATCTTCAATTTACTGCAAAAAAATAAAATGAAAAATTGAATTTTTCGTCACTGGTGCTCATCCCTTTCGGGGCACTCACCGTTCTCGAAGCCGCTTGCGAAGAAACTCCCAAGGGACTGTTTTGATTTCCCTGGCCAAGGGTGCATTAAACATCCAAATGTTACAAAAAAAACTTACAAAAAAATAAGGTAGAAAAACAAACGTTATGATTTAATTTAAAGTAAAATATTATTCTAAGTGTATAGCAAAAGTTTACTTATGGCATATTTTAAGAAATGCACCGAACAAGAACAACTGTCGAATAAAACACAAATAAATAAATATGCATTTAGATAAAATAAATACCTACTTAAATCAAGTATTTAATTTTTTCGTAACGTAATATTTAATAGATATAATAAATGTTTTTTAAACTGAAATAAATGTTTATTTATTTCTATTCGTGTAAACATTCATTTGACTTGACAAAAAACTCCCAAGATAGAAAAGTATATATAATTATTTAATTTCAAGTAAAATATTATTGTAAGTATAAAATTATAGCAAGCACAAAGCACAATTCAAATACAAACAAACAAAAGACTCTGATTGCAAATAATAGTTTTAAACGATGGTCGTTTACTTATTCTTACACTGGAATGATCTATAATATTTGTATACTCACAATCTTAATCATAACTCAAATTTATTATCTACGGAATTTTCTGGAAGTATTTGATATAATTCACAATCAAGTATCTAAAAAGTCCGCACGTATTTATAGAACAGTTTTTTTTTTTTCAGTCGATTTCATATTGATTCANATACACATTTAAATAAAATAAATACTTATTCAAATCAAGTATTTAATTTTTTCGTAACGTAATGTTTGATGGATTTAAGTAAACGTTCTTTAAATTGAAATAACTATTTATTAATTTCTATTCGTATAAACGTTTGTTTGAATTAAGAAAGGTCTATTTTTTCAGTAGATTGTTTTTGAAAGTACAAGTAGTTTTGACTTAATATTGATTTTATTATACTTTCAGTCATATTGTCTTTATAAGAAATTTTTAGAGACTGTCACGTTGAAAACCCCTGACCTTCCGGTCGCTCAGCTGGCAAATATTTGTCAATGCGTAGTCCTTTCGAATAATTTTCTGCTTCAACACTATTTGCGTGTTTGCAGTAGTATTTCGTATAAAATAGAGCGTAACTTACCATAATAGCTAACAAAATTTAATATTATTGAACGTGTGTCGAAAAAGTATACATTTTGATACTTCATAATAAAGTGCATTACTTGCACGCAATGCAATTTTGTCGCAGAAAAGGACAAAGCATGTATACAACTTCCAGTCATAAAATTGGCATTTCTGTTAAGGCACGTACCGAATGATATGCCTTAAAATTCCATTTCGACTAGAAGCGCTTCTATACCATGAGTCACACTAAAAAACACGGGAGAGCCTCCTTGATGACCAAAGCCTAACGTTTATGTGAGAAATGGAATTTCCGAAATTTAGCGTTTAGAATTTTTCATTATAATATATTATTCCCAAGTTATGTGAGGTCTTTCGCATGAAAAATCAATTTAATTTAAATACAAATTTTAAAAAGTTGCGGTAATGTCGAATTTGTCATGATATCATGTTGCTACTAAAATCGCGATTCTAAAGCTTCACGTGAGAATTTTGCAACGTTAAACGATTTGAGATTTTAAAATAATTTTGTTGAAAAATCAGAAAAATTTATTCATTTACTGCGTGCGTGTATTTTGTTTCGTTACAAATATAATTTTATTTAATATGATTTGGAAACCACTAGAAATAAAAATCGTACAAAATATTGAAGTCATTATTGAAACAATTGTACAAAAGAGTAGTAGTGAATCGACCCTTTGAAATAATCATCGCGTACTTCGTTTGTTTTCTTCAGTAAAAAAAAAAAAAAAAAATATCCCATTAAACATTTTTTGGTTATAAAAAATCGTAAATGCCAAATTCCTCGATTCATCGTAATCCACAGTTGCCCAGACATCGTCGAGATCGCACAAGCGTTACACTTAATCTCAATTAAAAATAGAAAAAAGAAAAAAAATTCAGCTAAAAGAGATAAATCATATCTGCCAGTGGAAACCCTCGGTCCGATTCAGCAGCGAAGCCGCGACAACAAGAAAAAAAAAAAAAAAAAAAAAAAAAAAAAAAAAAAAAAACCTCCCGAGGCTACTAACGACGCAGCAAAAACCTATTACGAAGAGAAGGAAAAAAAAAATCCATCGCGTGTCATCTCCTACAATGCCCTCGTGTTAAAACCAGGAATATATTCTACTCCGTCTCGGCAAGAGCCCAAAGGAGAGACACACAAAACTAGGAAAAAGAGACACACCGCCTCTCTCTCTCTCTCTCCGCAGATAAGCCGGCACTTTGCCCCGCGGAGATAAAAAGCGTATACACTATATTCCACCGCAACCCCGCGCTACGCCTATATAAATGGAGCCGAGCAGTAGCGCCCGTACGTCAGTCTCCCCGAACGACACGTCGAGCCAACATCACCCACATCCCATTACAAACACGAGTCACCCTCTCAGTGAAAACCCAAACAATCCATCCAACGCACAGCGATGAAGTACCTCGTCGTTCTAATGACCTGCCTCTTGGCCTGTGCTTACGCAGCGCCCAACCCCGAGGAGCCGGCACCCCACGCTGCCGATGGCCAGATGGTGCCCAGCCAACAGCAGATCACCGACCTCTTCACCAACGCCCAGAGCGTCCTCGCCGATCTCTGGAGCAACATCAAGAACAACTACGTGGCCAACAACGACTACGTGAGCAACCTCGTCAAAAACCAGACCGCCGCGTTCTTCGGCAATGTCCAGGAGTTCATGACCCAGACGAGCAACAAGGTGCGTTTCTTTTTCTTTTTTTCTTTTTTTTCTCTCCTTTTCAATGATTCGGCCTTCCTTTTTGCCGCCTTTGTTCGAAACAATGGGCCCGGTTAGCGCGTTGTTTTTCCCGATCGGCCGTTTTATCGTGCCGATACTTGCTGAAGGAGGTCACGTGTGTAAGATTACGGCTCTCGAGACGTGGGTATTTCCCAAACAAGCGATTTCACGTGGAAACGGCCGGACTGCCTTTTGTGAGTCATCTCGAGGGAATATGAGTCGTAAGTTAGGGGGGGGGGATTCGATTTGGGGGCAACAACCTTTGTTATCTCCAATTTTACCGTGGTCGGACGTAAAAATGTACACAAAGCTCGGAGCTTGAAATTCGTTGAACCCATTGTTTTGGATTTTTATGAGTAAGGCCTATAGGAGACGGTTAGGTGTATATATAGCTTTTGAATAAGGAAAAAAAAAGAACTTTTACCTGGTAGTTGTTGTATTCAAACTTTTCTCATTGTTGGCTTAATGCGAAAGTACCTTGAAAGTGCTTTTGTGCGTTTTGGATTTGACTAGAAATTAATATATTTAAAAAATTTCACCACAAGGACAAGAGTTGGGGACGACTCTATCGTTTTAGGGATGCACCCAAGACGTTGTAAATTATTTTTTAATTAAAACGGCGCGTAATAAACGCGAGGATAATTTTTATTACAACTTTACTGTTTTGGAATGGTAATGTGCATATCACTCACCGGTTCAAAGTAATATGTTTTTTATCTTACTGGGAGAAAAAAGGATGATGAAAATTCCTGGTGTCGATCCATAGCTTAGAAACTTTTTACTATATGCAACTAAACATAAAAAGCAAAAAAAAATCTGCTGAATTGGTAATTTTTATACTTTTTCTTTTTTGTCTCTCGGCGTAAACTTTGTATGTACTCATATTTTCTAAACAGTGGTTTTTTGTTGTACAATATTCAAAGAGCGAAGGTGTTAAAAAAAGCAATAAATCATCATCATTTCAAACCCCCCCCTAAAAAAAAAAAAAAAAAAAAAATGGAATGAATATACAATGAAAACTGCTCCCCCTGATCTCAGCTGAAGGAAAAGGCACCCGAGGTGGAGAAGCAGCTGATGGAGATCCAGAACAAGCTGAAGGTGATGGTCGAGGGAGTGAACGCTAACGTGCCAAACGCCAAGGAATCGGCCGAGCAGCTGCAGAAGCAGTTCCAGGAGGGCATCCAGACGTTCATCAAGGAGGCGGGCACTCTGTCGGACAAGGTCAAGGAGAACAGTGGCCAGGTCCGCGAGGAGATAGCCAACTTCACCAAACAAGCCATCACCAGCGCCGTCGAGGCCACAAAGGGCCTACAAGAGCAGCTCAAGAACTTGGCCAGCTCAACCACGGAGAAGAGCTCGTAGACGCGCACCACCTGTACCTCCCATTTTTTTTCTTCTTCTTTTTCACAAAGTAAATTTATGCACGACTTACGAAGGTCATCCATGACGCAACTGATGGTCGAAAATAATAATAATAATACTTACACGCGTCCTTGTTTGGCGCTCACATGAGTGTAGAAGAACCCAAAGACAACGGAATATCATTCCAACCAATAATTAATAACGATAATAAAAAATGGTCGCAAGATCTTGTTTTGATACATTTGCTGGCTTGTTTTTTCTCTCGCACACACCCATCCTCGAGCGCGTCGTTTTTTTTTTTTTTTTTTTTTTTCTTTGGTTATTTTACTAATGCATAATCGATATACATTTTAAAACAACACGAACATAAATATAATTACCGGTACGGCATGTCCGTTGCTTTGTTTCACTCGCAAAAATTGGGGGAAAAATGTTTAATCTATTTATTATTTTCCATGCAGAATGTGTTTATCAATCACGTAGAGGTTGGAAGATACCACCCCAATAAAAAAAAAATGAAAAAATACAATGGAGGGGTCAAGACGTTCCTAGAGTGTTTTTTCTGGATTACCGCAGTTGGAACGCCAGTTGCAGAAAAATGGAGGGTTAGGCGGTTAGGTGTTTCGAATGAAATTCCAAAAATTAACGGAAATTTAAATCACGATACTTCAAAGTTATACTTATGGAAACGGGACACGCGCGAAAAGCGTAAACATCGCTCCTCTGGCCGCGCAACCGCCAAGAGGCGATAACTTATTGACACCGGACTCGCCAGACGTAACGACGTTGTTTACAAAGTCTCTTGTGCCGAGCGAGGCTTCAGGGTGAAAAAAAATGCGTAACATATTTTCGACGGGCGCTCAATCATTGATTATTACTCAGCAAATCGTGCCTTTTTTTTCAGCAAAAAGCGTAACGGTATCTTTCCCGCTTGTACGACTCAGGATTTCTGGAAGACTCTCTCGAGCGGTAACAATACTACGATGAGTCCTTGCTTTTTTTGCTTTTATATTTTTGTATAATAAATAATTATCCGTGTTTTTATTTTTGGCGGTAGAATCACATTTATTTTCGAAGGTTCAACGAAAGAACGCAAAGTTCAAAAAAAAAACGTCACTCAAATTTCATTTTGAAAATGTTTGATTTACACGAAGGAAAAATGTTTAATCGAAAGCATCAGCAACATGGACGTTGAAAAAAAACAAAAAAACAAATCGTCACTCGAACAGCACGTGACTTCGGTAGTTCCGAGCGGCGTAGGGGATCCTCAGTCCCTGGAGAAACGGTAAGACCAGCTGATAAACAACCGAGGCGATCCTCGCGAGCGAGCCCAGTGTCTTCGATGGCCAAGGCTGCTGGTCCAGGGCGAAGTCAGTGGACCGCCTCGGGGCCTTTGAACGGACCCGCGGAGCGGCTGACGTCTGTAAATCACATTTCGGAGTGTGTGTAGAGCGCAGGTCATTGAACCAGTGGTACTGTGCGGGTAAAATCGTCATTTCTTTTGCAGCACTAGCGAATGGGATGAGTATGTGTCTTTTTTTTCTAGGCACAGACACGAGGATTGGAAGTACGTGTTACGTGATGGTTGTGCACTTCGAAGCGGAACCAGAGCTGGAGGATAAAATTATGTAAAAACGGCGCGTGAAAATAAAGTGCCATCTCGGCATCGTCAACAAAAAATAGGATGATTATGAAAAATATTGCCGTTTCAGTTTGAAGAACAGTTGGTGTAAAAAAAAAAAAAAAAGATAAATTACTTTTTCTACGAATGTTATGAATATCGAGTCACTTGTCCAACGCTACGTTATACACACGCTACTAAAATTTTTTGCAAAACTGTCACGTAGAGAAATGTGCTACTGCAACATGTTTAATCTATTTACAAAAGGATTTCATTGACACACTAGTTAATCGATAAAATCAATACTAGTTTTAATATTATTTACAATTTTATTGCATCAATTTTATCACATTATTTTACTAAAGTTATTTATAACATCAGGTGGGTGTTCTATACACTTACTGATAAAATATAAAACTACAAGTATAAAATCTATTCTGAAAGTTGTTTAGGATATTTCAATACCAAACTGTTAAAATTATAGAAAAAAATTGATAGTTAAAAGTTAAATTTATCAGATTATGGAAACACTTGAGGACACCAACTACTTTAAAAATGGCAAGACTAAATAATAAAACTCAAAACTTTCTGGGTTATTTTGTACGTATCAAGAGCAAAATAACAATTTAAAAAACTATCCATTGTGTCTTTGATATTTGTAATACCTTAAACATTACAGCAGTTGTGACATCATTATCTGGAATTTGAAAAATTTATACACGTTTTCGAGATGGCACTTTTTTCCTATAAACTTTCAAACTACTCTTCTTTTTTGCTAACCTTTGATATATTATATAACACTCGTCAAGCACTTGGACAATTCAAGGAATACCCAGCATAAAACGTAAAACATCGAATTTGTTTTTTTTTACTTAATGTTTATTTAAAAGTGAATCATCTATGTCGTGTAAAGGCGTACAATGACGTTGGTATATTATTCTCGATTACACGCTAAAAGTATATCCTGTTATTATGTATAGTTGCTTTATTTATGTCCACAAACAATATTTTAAATACGATGTATTATCTCTTATTTATATTTTGCTTTAATAGCAACGGATTCATGCACTAACTTAAAATCAAAACAAAGACTGTCACTGCCAGTGCGATTCAATATTTAGTTTTCTTAACGTTCGCTTAATTTTTTTCTAAAATTATTTTCTACCCTAAAATTTTTATCAAACACTTGATTCTGCATAGTGTAGAATTTGTCAGTCAACTACTGCCGCTAAAGAAAAAGCTTGATCAAAATATGAAATTAACCAAAACCAACACACTAAAAGTAAACGTCTGTCAGTACATTTTATGATCTGACGAGTTTGGTCATGGCTATTTTAAAAATATGAATATACTTTTTTTGGTGGTGCTAAGTCATTTAGCGCATACTCGCGAATCGTTCCGACAGATACATCTATCCTGCATATTGATATCCCGATCCTTGACACTGACTTGGGATGCCTGTTGGGACACTGTTTTACCGTTTTACCCCCCTCCCCCCCCCAAAAAAAAAATATTACATGTCAGACTACATTAACAATGAAGATGTAAAAATTATTCGTTGCTTTTCAAATTTTTTTTTCTTTTATTATCTGAAACGTCTCATTAAAATTTAACGGTTTAAACGCCCACATCCATTTTTAATTTTTTATCTTACTTCCTTCAATTTTATGAATCAGTTGTAAAATCACTCTCTGGTAAAAAAAGGTAAGGTCTTCTCCCAGTTAAAAGAATTCATTCCCGTCAGCATACTTCTGGCACACATCAAAGACAGCCAAAGGCAGTTAACTTCGTAGTAATGTACTATTACATTATAGTGAAATACTATAGTGGATTAATACAATTTATATTATCGTTTTTTTTTTTATTTTTATGGAAAAATTTTGATACTTTTTATTTTTTTACTACAAAATTATGAAATAATAATAAGTAATTGAAACGTTTTTTTTATAAAACGTAGATTTTTAATACCAATATAAAAAAAAGTTATCAAAAAACACATTTATAAAATTAAAAATATGATTTCAGCAATAGGAGATGTCTAAATGCACTAAAAACAATCCTAGATGGATGAAAATCGATTGAAACAATCCTGAGATGATAATTATTCCATTTATACACCTACATAATTATGTACTCTCACGTGCAGACTTTTTTCTTTATTTTCCATCTTAAAAAATTGTATTGAAATGTCACTGCTGTAAAAAATTTGATTTCTTGCACTGGTTTATTTTATGGTTAAAAATCTAAAAGATCTTAGTTTTCTACAAAAAATTTGAATACTGGTAAGTGCTGGTGTATAAGTGTGTTTCTATAAAATTTTTTAAATCTCAAAATTGTTAATTTATATAAAAATAAAAGAGTTTGTGCTGGGTAGTGTATGGATATTTTCTTAAATTCTGTGACCAAAATTCGCCTTATATTGTGTCATTTTTATAAATAATTTGTACGACTGCTTCGCAAAAAATTTTTTTAAATTTTCATTAAAAGTTTGATTCTTATCAAAAACGCATTGAAATTCTTATTTTTCTTTTATATCCAGTGAGAGATAAATAATAAGAAATATAACAGAAATAATCGTACGTGTATAATCGTTATTGTAGTATATTTTAAAATGGAAAATCTGGAAGAGCATAAAATTTTGTATGAAAACGTATTGATATACAATTAAAGGAAGTTAAGGTACTTAAGTACATCAGTGAATGTTATTATGTATAATTTGTTAAAAATTTAATAGTTTTATTATTTGACGAAAAAATCATATCTAATGGATTGAGTGTAATAATAGTAATAAAAATAAAAATAATGATGATAATAATAATAATAAAAAAATTAGTTAAAAAATATTTGGAGACATCTGTGGTTCAAAAAGTGTAAATCACCAGCCCAAAAGTTGCTACCTGTAGTTTTTCACACTTATTTAAACCCACACACATTTTATAGGTTTCATAAAAATAAATTAGCCAGGATATACTAATTACATTGTGTGTATGCCGCGATTCTGAACTTCAAACACTAGTATATTTACCTTTAGTTCGAAAGTTGTGCCAAAAAAGTACATTGCTGTTTTCTATAGACTTTTTTTTTTTTTGCCAATTTTCGATTATCGTGCAAACTATTGTTCTTTGCGCCCTGCTATCTTATTTTGCGGTCAGTCAAAATTTCATGACTGATGTATGGCTGCACTTGAATCGGCCCAACACAAAGGTAGGTACAAAAAAAGTGAAGCACGAGGAAAAATTAAAAGATAACGATCCGTCACAAATTTAATTACTTCCTGCGATTTGATCATTCGCGTCGTCAATGTAGGTACACACTTGCAACGAACAATAAAACCAGACCCCATGAAACAACTTAATGACCGTCCTTGTCGTGCTACCGTATCTGTGCCATAATTACGTCTGTATATATATGATAGTTAATAAAGGTCATAGGGAATACGTAAAAAGTGACAGTATAGAGCACGTTTGTTGCTTAGAATATGTGTTTTACTCACGCATCGGCAGAACAGGGAAGCCAGAAAAACGATGCCCCAGAAACATACGAGCCGCATCTTTCACTCGATCGCAGTTCGGCGAAGGCAAGTATTGTACGAGCAGGTGTACTTGGAAATGACGACGGGC